TACTGAGTGGAGGAAGGGTGTATTCATAGCCTTCCTCTCGTTTTCTCCAATATCTTCTAAGCCGCTGGACATATCAATACGAAACTTTCAGGATCTTTGGCTGCACCAATTTGACTTTGGTGATTTAGCCGAAACGCGTTCGTCTATCATTTTTGTTCCGTGTTATTTGACATCTTGTGTCTAGACAAAAATTTCGTAGCAACCATAGATCGGCCGGAATGGCGTCAGAGTGACGTCATGTTCGGCCAATTTTGACTCAAAACATTTAACTACGACAATCGCTCTAAAGAGCTTAGTTTTTAACCTTCGTCCGGCTGGGGGAGGGGGGGGGGACGTTTTTGCCCACACCTGCTAATTTTTCGAGTGCAAAGAAAACCACCACGCACAGCACAGTGCCGCGAAACTTGGTGTAGCTTATGATACATCAATTTTTTTTTCAAATAAATTTAGTCCGAACCTTTTGATGGGAAGGATTCACAAGGACAGACCCACCGCTAAGCGAAGCTTGTTGCGATGACTCTGCCCTCTACCCTCCGATCGCGCAATTCCGATTCTATGGCAGAATTTAGAGTCCAAAGTTTTACGTGCGCACATAGCCGCGCACGGCCGGTCCCCTCGCTGACTTTGCCTGGCTACGGCCTGCCACCAACCGCAACCATACCTGTCAGGAGGCCCATAAATGTCGAGCGCCCGTCGCGCTTCGAACCCGGACTGTTATAACCGGGAACGCGTGCTCTCACCACGCGGAGTCCAACGCTCTAACCAACTGAGCTACGGGACCGGCTCAGTTGGGACCGAAGTTAACATCGTGTGTAAATTTTTTGACCCCAGGCCACATAAGGTCAAGTCACCAGGTCAACCTGCGCATGACTGGGGTATTTTCCATAACGCGAGTGACTGGGGGGGCTCTACAGTCTACAGAGCCCCCCCCCCCCCTATCTCCAAAACTGCTGGTCCGATCGTTCCAAATTCAAACGGCGTCTGATAGCCTTAGAAACACTGTCCAGCGAAACCTAATTTCATTGACCTCGAGGTCAACGATGACGTAACAGGTCAGGTCAATGTAAAAACTATCAGCATTTTGGCTTGTTCACAATTTAGGCTCTGGCCGCCGGCTAACAAGTTCGATCAGGCCACTTTTGGCTTACGCACTCCCTGATATATAGGTACCCTGAGGGTACCAAACTTGTATTTCGATTTTTTCAGGTCAAGGCCAGGTCATCCTAGGTCACGACGATTTTATATCATGTATCGGTCATGTGACGCATGTTTTATGGTCCATTTTACTCATAGATTTCGAAAACAATGTCGTCTGTGTCATCGGATCTATATTATGATTTATAACATGTCTGTGCGTGCCTGCGTCTGTCAGGACTTATGTGTCTTATTGCGCCTGAAAGGCGCCGCGTATCGGCGTGAAATTTGGCATGCCGAATCTGTGGGCGTTGGGAACTTTGTATTAAAATTTGGGGGTGATCGGCCCAGGGGTGCGCCGTCAGCACGCGCTCGCGTGCGCCATAGGGTTAAAGGGAGATAATGACCTTTTCCCACAAAATCTGAGTTAGGACCATTTTCTGACAAAACACAACAAGTTATAATGTAAATTAAAACCATTTTGCTCAATTCGGTACCTTGCCGCAAATATCTCAACTTGAAGTCACGTTAGCGGGGAGCGCTGAAAATGACCGTTGAATAAGTACTTACATCACCTTTTGGTACTTGCATGTAATTTTGTAAAATGAGCGTATTCCTTACATTTGATCTTCATCACATCTAGTTAGTTAATGGTCGTCTATAGTGCCTTCAAAAGATATTCATGGTTTGGGGGTGGTTTATGTCTAAATTTACGCAACTATTTTTCCTGTTCATCATCTGACGCCATATGCTGCTATTTTAGTAGCAACGACTCAATTTTGAATCGGTCCCGCCGACTGCACAATAAAAGAAGATAGATACAACACTTTTGCGGCATCACTGAAAAACTTATGCAGTACTGTTATCAAAATTCTCATAACACCGTTCGACAAACCTGAAGTCTTTTTGAAATAAATATGCTTGTATTTTTCGCTTCAGGCTCTGACGCCAAAATAATGAATTTCGTAGTCGCAATCGCAAGATTTGGCTGCGTTTCTGGCGCATGCCGTTCATTTGTGGCGCAAAATAATACTTGGAAACAAAGAAGAGTAGGCACTATGTACAGGGACCCGCAGTTGCTACTGTACACATATATTACCAATTTAGAATTGTGCTATTATTTGCTAAGTGCTGGCCATTGGAGAAAGGAAATGTAGCGCAAAATATGGAGGAATAACACATGTTTCCTCCTAGGACGTATGTTTTGTATAATTCCTCTTACCGCAACATATATTCTTTCAAAACTACAATCGTGCTATTTTTCCGTGCCGGTTGCCTCCCCAGAGCCCGTCCTTGGTATCGCCTATAGCTTCCGTTCCCGCTACGTGAATGAAAGTCACGTGACTACTACACGTTTGCACTCAGTACTAACACACCTAGCCCGAGGGCCGGTCCGTAGCGGGGAGGGGTAGAACGCCAGAGCTCCAGCGCAGTGGAGGTGGTGGTGGCCCGTATCATAAAGAGGCAACCGTAAGCAGAACTACAATGCCGCAGTGTGAGGTTATGATAAAGTTTTATTTAAATGTATTGATTGACAAGAAAGTGCAATGCTTATCCGATATAATAAAACGGTGTCCAAGGCCTTGGAAGAACTATAAAACATATTCAGCAACGTATAAATTTATGATACAGGCCATGACCTTTCACCTTGCCTCCGGGGAGGACCGCTCAGGACTCCACATACCGAACGAATCGAGGCCTCGCAGCGCGGCGGCAGAGGAGATGGATAAACCATCGCCAGATCTTTCGGTTACTTATGTTTCCAGAACGAGGGGGGGGGGGGTGGAGGGTGAGGGCTGTTTTCAACCCACTCACCAACCCTTTCCTTATTAACTTACAGCTTACCGAAAAAAAATGCAACACAATGGTGGCCGCCACGGATGTAGCGAATAGTGCCTCAGCCACACCGGTTTTGAGTAAACTAAGCATTGGAATTCAGGCCAGTGATCCTGAAGCATTATTTTATTTTTTTCCTTCATGCCGGGGTATGTCATAAGCACAGCACGAGCCGGGCAGTAAAACTATGACCAAGAAACTGTCGGTGTCAAAATGCCATGTTATTTGATAGGCCGGGCAGTAAACAAAAGTTTACTGCCCGGGTTTACTGCCCAGGGCAATGACCTCTGAACTATTGTTTATCGCATTAGCCCAGAGTAATTGACGGGGAGTGTATAATTGACATCATTATTGCATGATATTTGCCTCGTAAAATTAGAAAACTGACCTTTTTGGTAAACAATATCTGCTCTGCTCATCAAGGGTTTTGAAATATTTTTGTTCAAAAGTTTGTAGCCCTTTCCTCGAAAAAAAAAACATGTAAAATATGTTAAATATAATGTATTTCACGAAGTTTAGCCATAGGGCATCAACAAAGTACGATTACATGAATAAAGGAAAGATTCTTGCAAGAGCACTTGAAAATTCACGTTTAATCACTAGAAATATTATACTTTCTTCTTGTTCTTATGTCGTGGCAAATCATTCATGTATTATGTTCCTTGCCGATATCAACTTGTTGTGCCATTCGAGTTGATGTTTTCAAACGCGATTCTTTTTGAAGTAAGGAGTTTGATGCATTTTCTTCTATCAATTTTCTTTAAAGCTTTATCAACAGCAGTAGCGCAATCACTGTTAGGAAATTATGGACAAAACAATCGTATAAAAGTGACACCAAAACCTGACGAAACTGCTTAAAGGAAATAGTTCACTTTTTAACATGGGTTTTGAACTGGAATAGCAGTTCCGTAGCCTGGGCTGAGACGAGCATAAATCAGGAGCTTTTACAGCCCAACGATCACCCTAGGCAAAGATATTCTATTTCTCGTCCCGAAAAAGGTGTCTTGCGTTGAGGATGTGTGCCTTGCATATATTTGCATCCAGTATGAAAAGAGCATGGGTACCGAAAATTCTTCAGAAACTAGAGAAATTATCTACGAGAACTCTAGAGAAATTCTCGTACTGATCAATAAGGACATTCAGCAGCAGCAGATCGCCCAAATGCCGGTGGCCGGGTGCAGTTATTTTTTTACATCTTAGTTTTTGTTTACGCGTTTTTAGACGTTTTTCGGCGCACTGTTGTTGAAGTTACACAGGCCTATTTTACAGCTATTTTTGATTCACAAAACTGCTGCAATTTTTAGAACTTTTTTTTGCATATCGACATTTTGATGGAATTGGAATGCATTAAAAGATGTTTATTCTTAAATCTTCAATGCCAATATAATAACAATGTGAATCGAGCCACGCTCGTAGCGAAATATTACGAATCAATGATAATAACAGTAACCGGCAGAAAATAGTTACCGCGATTGTATAAGATAATACTATATATTCCGCGTGAAATTGACAGGAGATACCGCGATAATAATAGCCTAAACAAATATTGAAACAACTGAAAGTTCATAATACCCGCCTAGCACTGCTAACGCTGACCATTTTCTTCGAACATTAAATGCTTACCACACCATAACATCTGAAGATAATGAACTTGAACCTCGAAAAGCGAGTTGTCCAGTTTCAGTCTCAGTTTGTGCGGTACTGGGATACATTCATTATCAGTGAATCAAATAAAAATTGTCCGGGGCATCATGCTGTGATTATATGAACCAGTTAATATGCATAAAATCTAGTTATTGGCCAAACGTAACGGCCACGGACCGTAGGTTGACGACCCCGAAATTTAGCGAAATGAAGTATAGGTTCAAGCACTTTAAATAATGCTGGTGCGTGGAGTTGAATAGTGATGTAAATGTGGCCACAGTCTACAAACACGATAACAAATATCGATTGCGCTTCCGCTTCGCTCAACGAGAGCCATGCTCGTTCTTGCTCATGAAACAGTGCATCCCCATAAAATGAAAAGTCTGAACGAATGCATTCAGGTTCCTACCTCTGAATCACCTTATATTGAGATCCGTTTGTTAACAGGAACACAAACGCGGCCCATCAATTTGTCAGTACTAAGGCAACAGCGTCTGACAAGTGACAACGCATCCAATGGCCAACTTCTGACACTATCTACCAATACGGTTACGGCAATAAAATTGCATTGCAAAATGCAAATAATATTGCACCATTTCCAAACGCAGCTTGAAACCAAGTGCGACCAGCTAGTGTCATTTTCACAACCAAGGGCGACCAGTTAGTGTCTCGAGACACATTCCAACTACATAGGTACCGCAGTAACCCATTAGGGGCGAAAGGAAACACATGACTTGTGTACGACCAGCGTTCTGTCAGCGCGTACGACGCATAAAGCAAACTGCTCAAACAACTGCGATCCCGAACAACACAACACAGAGCTCCGAAACGAATGGTTTACAAAAGTCTACGACTGACGACATCGAAACAGTACGTTCATCGGGACTTGTCACATGACACGGTCAACCCATCTGGGTTATGGGTACTAATTGCGCTTCAAATTGACCTCTGACAGCCATTTACTTACGCTAGTTTGATGCATAAAACTGTACATTGAAACTCAAGCGGCAGCACATATGTCTCCATCAAGGTGGTTATATACAACAGAGCACCTCGCTAAAACGAGCGCGGGCCGCACTGTCACACTGACAGTTAACACTGCTCGGGGTTACATGAGCAGAGTTAATACGCATTACAAACGGACTACAATGGTGAGCGAATAGGAAAATCCGTTCCTGATACGCATTTACTTGCTCATGTAACCCCGGTAACTGAGCCGCGAGTCGTGACAGTCGCACTGCGTCATATGCACGCAGATGTCGCACTCACGGCACCGTTGCTGGCACTGCACTGAGGGTGGACACGCGCGGTGCAGTAGCTCCACGGTGTGCGGCTCACCGGAGGGATTATCAGTCTCCGACCGGACAGTCCAGGCGGGAAATGCGGTGTCTTCAATCATGACCGCCGTCCCCGTCTCCGCGGAGTGCCGCACGGCGGCGACGCGGCGGCGTCGGATCTTGAGCTGGTGGACACTGGACTCCTGCCAGAGCTACCAGCTTCAGCCCTTCAGCATCCTGTCATCAGCAAACTCCAGCAGAGCTCCAATGCAACTGGGAAAATAAAATTTATGCTGTTAAGCTAAATCATGCAAAACATTTCCTTGCACAGGATTCTCTTGCGCAGTTCAGCAAATTCTTCTGTGATAACTGATATCCATGGCCGTGACAAGAGGACTTGATGCCATTGTAAAAAATATAGGTTCATTGGTTCTCATTTACACACATCGAGCCTCTATAGGTACCATTCATTTGTATATCATGAAGTATGTTAACTACACCATATTTATGCAATAGACTGACATGAAATATGTAGGAATGGCAAGAGAGATGGGTAAATAAGCTAAATAGGTTGCAGGATTTATTGGCACCAAACAGGTTAGAAAGTAGAAGTTCAAACAATCTTACAAACTACACCAGAGAAAGTCTTTGAATTAGGCACAAAATTATGCCACAGAAATAAAAACAATGCAGTTTTGTACAGCATTTCCCAAAAGATAATTGTGATTCAGCCTTGCTCCCATCTGAGATTGAATAAATACAAATTATAAGGTGAAAGTTACTAAAAAGCAGTTTCTTTTTTTAGAAAACAGCTTCAATCCATGTTTGTCTGATTTCAAACTCAAGGCAACATCTCATAGCTTTGACAGCATGAAATTTCATTATTGAGGTTACAATTTCCATAATCTTGTCACAAACAGTGCACTTAATATGGATAACTAACACCAAATCAGCCAACCTTGTATCTTTATCTGGTGAAAATCAAGAAACCAATAAAGCAAACAATTTCTGAGCAAAACATTTAGGTATTTGACAAGCTCGACTACTGCCATGCAGCCTAATGATCGTTGTTACAGATTAAATACCTACTTTTCAAATATAAATTTGGTAGTTCAATATATAATGAAATACCCAGCTCAATAAAGGCAATTATGATAATGACAGCAGGTAAGCAAAGTAAAAACAAAATCAAATATTTCTTCTACAGAAAAAAGCACTTGTACCCACTCAACTTAATTTTACTAAATCACTTATTTGAATTATCAGTCATCACCAGACTTGCAAAAAACTTTCTAGATATTATGCTACAAAAAAATAAACAAAGTATCTGAAATTGCACAATACAAGTACCAGCCACTGGAGCGGTATGATGGGGTCTCGTAACTTGAATGTTCGGTCTGTAAGAGCATGCCTGACTTGACTTAACGGCTTTGAGACATCACCTTTGCAGCAGCTCCTTCTATTCTTTTATAACATAAACTTAAACTATCATTACCATGCTATGATGATGAGGTGGCTGGTTTCGGGCGCATGAAAAGTAGCAGCCCTTCTTTCATTTTATTTCCTTGTTTTCACATGCTGCACAAAATGTTTTTCTTCCACGTTCCTTCTGTCATTATAAAAAATAATAGGTATCATAATTGCTTCACTTCTTCTTTATATTCCAAGTATTGCTGCTGCAATTCATCACATCTCCCGTTAGTAAACCATTGCATGCCATTGCCCTATGGCCGCTAAAGTAAATAAGTGGAATGCGCCAGAAATTGTCAAAATCGCGCCAAAATAGCAAACTAAGATGAGAAAAAATAACCGCACCCCGGTGGCCGCGATAATTTCTCTAGTTTCTGAAGAATTTTCGGAACCCATGCTCTTTTCATACTGGATCGCCTGTGCCTTACAGAAACTGAAAAGTTCTTCTTATATCAAAATATAGAAAATAATCTTTTGTTATAAATAGGTTTTATTTTCTTTGCTGATCATTTTGAACATAAAAAATCATAAATCCATTGCAAAAAAAAAAATAATTTCGTGAAAGTGAACTATTTTCTTTAACAGGTATGCGGCATGTAGGAAAAATCTTACTGACCTCAGCCGTACGAAATTATTTGGAAACTCGGCTTGCAAATTTTGACTCCGGCCCTCGTGCTCCGCACTCGGGCCTCCGTCAATTTTGCAAACCTCGTTTCCAAATAATTTCGTCGGCCCGGTCAGTAATATACAGGGTGATCCAAAAAAATTGGAACCCCTAACTTAAAATGTCTATAAGTCTAAAAGTATTCATTTTATTGACAAATCGCAAACACCATTAGAAAGAACATTAAATCCTCTATAAAATCATGCCAAGTTGGTGCATGTGTGCTGTAAAGTATTGACACACTGTTAGGTTTCGGAATGAGCGTCAGAAAACTGAGTGAAACGAAATCGCCAATTGTTAACAATGCACTGAAATCCGTTAGCTTTCCATCTGTTGTTTTTTACGAATAATACCACATCCAAATTCAATTTTATTACATAAAAGTTTTCGCAGAAGCACACAATAAAACAGATACACGCATCCTAGCTTCCGCTGTTCATCTCAGCATGTGCTCAAACCGAGCTCCGTGGGCCGTCACGCAGGCCAGCAGTCGCTTGCGGACGGCTCCAACTGCGCGGGCCAGCAGTCTCTGGGACAACTGGTCCCAGCAGGCCGTCAGCCTTTCCTTCAGCTCCTCGATGGTGCTGATCCTCTTGACCTCTGTACACCATTCGCTCCAGTTCGCTCCACACGAATTAGTTAAAAGGGTTGAGGACAGGGCTCTTCGGTGGCCAGGCATCTGGCTCGATGAAGGCCGGGCAGGCCTGTTCCTGAAACTCGACCACTGAGTGGGCCGTGTGGCACGGAGCACCGAATGACAATTTTTTTTTTTTTGCTCCTGTTGAAATTTAAATTCATTACAATAGCACGTGAATGAGATATTTTTATTCATGAGCCTCCGACATGCGACATGGTCAGAACAGCAAACCGCAAATCACTGATTTGCGGATAATGTTGAAAACCGTTTCACTGAGTTTCGTGACACAAATTTTATAGGCATATAACTAGGGTAATATTTATAGTAATAGTTAAGTTCAATTAACTTGGTTTTATAAAGAATTGAACGCTCTTTCTAATGATGTTGGCAATTTGTCAATAAAGTGAAAACTTTCGGACTTACAGACATTTTAAGTTAGGGGTTCCAATTTTTTTGGATCACCCTGTATAGTCGTGCATAAGCTGGGATGACGTGGGCCAAGTTGATTGCGAAGAAACGGTTTTAGTTTCAGAACATTTCTGAGGCTAGTCGCGCCAAATAGTATACGGTTGTTGCAAAATGTCAAAAAGAATGTTGACGTGCTATCCAGATGATGGAATTAATTTGACACAAGAAGTCAAAAAGTGGCATCGTTAGTCATCGTGCATGCGTGTAACTGTAAATCGATTCGTCGCCTCGGTTCGAGCTCAATAGTTCTTTTCGCGGATGATCGGTTTCGTTTTTTTTTTTGGGGGGGGGGGACAGTTTATGAGCCAGCAACCACCCTCCCCAGTCCCCCCAACAACAATTGTTGACAAATACTGTGATGGCCTAAAATGCCCTCAATTGTGTTACGTATTTGGGGCTCTCAACTTTGATTTGTTAAAGTTATTTGTCTATTCATTATAAAAGCTGTCAAATTTGCCGTATCATTAAACTTTTATTGAGTTTGTATTTCACACTTATCTAAAATGAACAATTTTATCTCTGGCTTCTTTTATGAATGGATGGTCGCATGAATGAACGAATGAATAGCTCTACATCCTTTGAGCATCAGCTGAAATCAATCCTAAAATTTAACCCTCGCCCGTATTGGGGGGGGGGGGTCGAACGGACCTCCCTAGGGTTTTCGCGAATAACTCGCGTAAAAAGCGGCCGATCGCAACGAAACTTTCAGTACCCTCGCTTTTATCAATTTTACACCTACCCTGAAATTTTCATGACCCTGACCTTAATGACCTTTGACCTGTGACCTACTTTTCGAGACCATGTTTGGCCGGAATCGCGATTCGGCGTATGTTGGCTCGCATTAGCCGCGCGTTTGCAGTCTTTTCGTGGTTTTAAGCGTCCAAACATGGGATATGATGCTGCTCCCATGCATTAGGGTAGGTGTGAAGGTCACCGGAAAGGTCAGGTAATTGACCTTTGATGACCTCGGTTCACATTTTCGAGTTTTACATGTTTTCAGGTCAGTTTTTTTTTAGCTGGATTCGAATTTAGCAACCATATGAACATTTACGAAGTAGTTTTGGCACCTTCGTAACATGTTACGAAGCTGTCAGAGGCGGTTGCCACCTACTACGAATACCCTTACTGGTTGACCTGACCTGACCTGACCTGGCCGAAATGCATAAAGGCATCATCTGTAATCAAAACTAACATGATATTCGTGATCAGCACCCAGAAAAACCCCACAGCAGCCACGCTTTACGACTTTCTAACAGGTCCCGATTTTCCCCGACTTTTGGGTCATTGACCTGACCTGGAAGGTCAACCGATGACCTAGGACCTTAAAATTGGGTATCATCGGCTTCCTCTCGTGACGGGCAACACGCTCGTTTTTTTCTGCGAAGCTCTAGCTCGATCAGGGGCGAAACGGCAAGGGGGGTCCAACGGACCCCCCCCCCCCCCTTATACGTTCGCGGCTGGAAAAACACCAATACGGGCGAGGGTTAATCTACAAGTCTGCAACGAAAAGGTTTAAAAAGCAGTGCAAGTTAGGTGCAGTTCCTAATCTATGCCGTTTTTTTATTAGGTGTCTCATAGCTCCTAAATCTTGAGCCGCTTCTCTCACGATTCATTTTATGTGGTGCTTACATGCATTGTTCAAGAAGTTATAGTATTCGAGCTAGTTGGTCAAACTGCTATCGAAGTAAATTAAAGTGCTTCAGGCTTCGGCACTTAAAAAACCAATCGATATTTAACCCTCACCCATTTAGGCATTTCTTTTCAGCGTCTTACATGTAGCGGAGGGGCGTAGAATAGAAACCCTCAGCCATTCGGCCCTTGATAAAAAGAGCCAGAGCTTCGCTGAAAAAAGCAAAAAAAAAAGCGAGCTGCTCGTGACGAGAGAAATCCGATGATTTGAGGGTCCTGGTCATCGCTGACGAGGAGAAAGCCAATTATTTTTATGTCCTGGTCAATGTTGACTGTTGAGATCCTAGGTCATGTTGACCTCCCAGATCAGGTTAATAACCCAGGCACGGAAAATTGGGTCTTGCTTGAATTTCTAAAAGTGAGGTTTGCTGGGACTTGGCTTGCTTCTGATTCCGAATTTGCACTTGCTTTGATCAAAGATGATGTATCAAAGCATTTGGGGTAGGACAGGTCACGCCAGATCACCCATTAGGCGTTCTGCCGGCTATCCATGGAATGTTAACCAGCACTTACAGCCTTGCAACATATTGCATAGGCACTATAACTGATACCTAAGTATGCCTAGTTTTCAAATACTAAAATGGGTGCTAAATTTCAAACCAACACTTCCTAAAAACCACAGTAAAAAGGTGTAAATTTAAGGAAGTTAACCGAGATCATTTCAAGTAAATGCCCTTAGCCTGAGTTTCACGTGACCTTGGCACCTACAACAATCAATGAAACAAACATAAGATAGTATATTTCACATGTTGACACGTCCCTAATCACGAAACGACTATGGAAACACACAGAAGATGTGCGCTGACTTTCAATTGCTATTCTGGCCTGACATGATCTTGAGAAAAATAATCACAGGTTAGAGGTAATTTGGTTCAGGGATTAAAAAATCTCGGAAAAGATGCAAAAATGATAGGGGCTATTTAATTTTCCGGGAAGTTGTAAAATTTATTAACGCCAGGGCACCAAAGAATCGTCGCAATCCTTCGCTTTGCCGCGATTTATTGGTGAAAAACAGGGGGCGCGGTCTATTTACCTCTACTTATATGTGCGGTGAGGGTTAATGTTCATTTTATCTGTGTTGATGAATGTTCAACAATTTCTACATGAACTGAGACCAGTCCATATGAGTATGTTTTTCTCACGGACAATGACAATATAAAAACAATGCGAATCAAACCAAATGTTTCGGACAACAACGTGCCTTCGTCAGTGGAGAAAAATAAGTGTAGGTTTAACATCAATGAGAACTATATGCGGCACCGTCTCGGTCTGGGCAGCCGGGTTGCCGATAAAATGCACAAATGTTTATAACCTTCCATGATGTGCTTAAAAAACTGCTGAAAATATATCTAAAAAAGTAAAGATAACAACTTCATCGATTTTATCGAAAGAAAACATGTCAGCCTAGTTACTTATTTCTTGCCACTGACGGAGGCACTTTTGGTGTGCGAAACGTCTGGTTTTATTCGTATTTTTATTGTATTGTCATTCCCTGTGAGAAAAAAGGATAACTCTTCAGTTAGTAACCATAAGAGCGAAACGGCTTAATGTAACACAATTCACTGTGTATACGAAACCTATAAGTCCCTAAATATAATCCTATTTACGTCTTTTAAAAGGATACAGCTTATACAGCTAAGGCATACATTTTTTTCTGCGTTAAGATAATATTCATTTATCGCCGCAGAATATGGTAAATTAGTGCTGCTGAAGTTCGCTTTCGAAGCGTCTCCTCCAAGCATTCTACAGCTCTCGTGCGATTTTGGATCACGGAACATGGCTGGGCGCGGGACAGGTCGTCTGCGAGCTTGGACGGACCACGTGACCACCTCCTCCCCTCCCCCTCACTCCCGTCCCCTTCCCCAGCAGGGCGTCCGATC